CCCCCCTCCTCTTCCTCCGCACTGAGTGTTTTGACGCCGGTGACATCGCTGAATAGGATAATAGGCAGGTAAAAGCCGTCTGATGTGAGGGGGAAAATGGATGGGAAATGGCGGCGCAATCATAAAGATGCGCCGGGGTATCATCCAGTCACATTTGAGTTGATATGGGCACCTGAAGTGATTGTTGAGTAGTAAAACACTCGTCTGTGAGTGTGTGTGTGTGTGTGTGTGTGTGTGTGTGTGTGTGTGTGTGTGTGTGTGTGTCCTCCCTCCCCCCCCCACTTCTTCCTCCCATGTGTTGGCATGCCAACAACACTGTAATCAAACTATCCCAGCTCAGGGGAATAGTGCTCTCTTCAAGCGGCTCCTGTTTACACTCCCTACCCCCTAAAAAAAAAAAAACAATAATTACCCCCCCATTTTTTTTTTTTTTGGTTAACCATAAACCGCACGCTTTTTTTTTTTTTTTTTTTTGCGCGATCAGAAAGCGCCAGGCGTTCCAGCGCGGCGCTCGGACAAGGCCCCCCGCGGGGACGAATCACAGGCAGAACAGTTCCGCTTTGCCTTTCAGGCCTAATTGGACATATGCTGGAGTGGAGCTGGCTAGGGATCCCGTCATGCGCCGTAGGGAGGAGGAGATAGGAGACAAGGAGACGAGGAGACACACACACACACACACACACACACACACACACACACACACACACTTTTCTTCTTTTCATCGCGAATGGAAAATATCACACACGATCCTTAATGGCACTCTCAGCTTCTCGCCTCTCTCTTTCTGTCCTCTTTAATCGGAAAAAAAAAGTACAATAAGCAGACACCGCTTTGCACAATGCACGGGATTCTCCACAATGTCCAAAAAAAAAAAAAAAAAAGATCAAGCATCACAGAGGGAAAGAGAATCATTCCCAACCCATATGTCGCTGTAATAATAGCCGACGCAACAGCTGCAAGCGCGCACAAGGCAAAAAGTCACGTGGGTCAGCAAACCACCGGATGCCGGGGGCGGGCTTAAGTATTGGGACTTGTTCCCGATTGTGGATTGTGGACGCCGTTCCCGGGGCCCGAACTCACACAATCTCGCGGTTTTCAAACACAGACGGGTGCTCGCTATTAGCCACGCCTCCCCCTGACTCGATCATTCATCCCCGTTGTTCTTGTCAATTGTTGACTCAGAACTTCTCCAGAAGACAGACGTGTCATATTTTGTCTACAAGGGGATGTTTTTTTTTTCTGTGAGAGTGAGGCCCAAGGGTACCTAATACAAAGCTCATCGCTGCTCAACGCAAACACAGAAGTCGTTTCTGAGTTCTGGAACAAGATCGGGGGAAAAGATTCTCCCGCGAAAGCGTTTTGGCAGAAAGGAAAAGAGACGCTCGTCCGAGAAAGCGAAGGGCCCGCATCGATCAGACGATCCCCGCATCTCGGCGGATAAAGGAAAGAGGCGCATGTGAAAACAGCCGGCACTTTGGGGAATAGCGCTCCCCTCGGCTTCTCTTTCACATCAGTCCCAAAGTGAACATGAAAACCTTACAACGGGCGCAGACAAAACATCACACCGCCGCTTTCTGTCGACTCCGGGCGGCATTGACAACGAGGCGCTTTTAATCTTGCCAGCCCCTCCTCCACATCCCAGAGCCATCAAACAAACAGAACTCATCTCAATATAAAATAAAATAAAAAATGGGAACGGGGAAACGAGCCCCTGTCAGCGTTCTCTAATCAGCGGCGAAATGTTTGACGAGGATCTGGAAAAGGAAAGTGCGAAGTTTCACAGGGGCCACGGAGGACAGGAGGAACGGTCCTGGCGAGAGAAAGTTCTCGGCGGTAGACAGAGTGAGCAGAATGAACAAGGGAGAGGGAGAAGGCGGTGCGGCGCGGGGGGCGGTGGGGGGGGGGGGGTGCAAGAGTTGAGAATAATTGGCGGCGAGCGGAGAACGGCGTTCGCCACGCGCCAGGCGGCACAGCTTGAACTTAAAGCGCCGTCGCGGCATAATGAAGATGTGGCCGCTAATTAACATATGGGGTGCGAAACAGGTTGGTTGGCACGCGGTGCGCTTCGCCCAAAAAAAAAAAAAAAACTCCAAGGTAAAGTTATTATTGGGGAGTAATTAGCTCTATGAAGTTAATGCGCTGAACAATAGCTGCCAGCGCCGCACAATATGGCCCGTATCTGAGCTTGCGAAAAAAAATAAAATACCCCCCCCCCGATCAAGTGCCAGTCCCTCAGCTCAAATCTGTTGGGCGGCCATATGCTCCGGCAATTAATGCAAGACCCGGATGACCTTTTGTTGAACAGGGGAGAGAACCAATAATTAATTTGAAGCAAGCGAGAGCTTGCAATACCGCTCCGCTCACGTTATATGACGGGCCAGTCTGCCGTGACACGGGCGTCGGTTGCGGGTATATTGACGAATGAATTTACCAGTCCTTGTTAGTTCCCCTATCCCAATTCCCCCCAAAATATCTATACTATACATACGCTGTCAGAAACGGGTACAGTAGCTGACTTGCAGGACTCTTTTTCCAGGGCCAGACACCGTATTTTCCGTATTATAAGTCACTCCGGACTATGAGTCGAGCCAGCCATTAAATGCATAAGAAAGAAAGAAAACAACATACGGTCATACCTCGGTTTTCGACCATAATCCCTTCCAGAAGGCTGTTCGAAAACCGATTTGTTCGAAAACCGAAACCACGCTCTTTTTAAAAAAAAAAAAAAAAAATCTTTATTGAAGGCGTCTGCTCACAACAGAATGCTACACGAGGAAGCGTCACTTCCTCGTCTACCCGAGGAAGCGTCACTTCCTCGTGTAAGGAAAGCGGGAAAAGTCAAGTGGCGCATTCAAGTGCGCTCAGTTTGGTCGAGAACCGATTTTCGGTCGTAATCCGAGGCATAAAAAACTCGAAATTTTTGGTTGAAAACCGATTTGGTCGAGAACAGAGACGTTCGAAAACCGAGGTTTGACTGTATATAAGTCGCACTGGAGTATAAATCGCATTTGGGGGGGGAATAAAATCGAGAACAACAGGCTGAATAAGTGTACAATATGCTAACGTTACGTGACGCATTAACAACGAACGGAGAACGTGCCTGGTATGTTCACGAAACATATTAAGAGTTATTCCGATAACGATAGCGTAAAGAACATGCTAACAAGTTTAGCAAACAGTCAGTGTCACTCCAAATCACAAAATCCAACGAAATCTTCATTTTCGTTGTCACTTTCAAACAACTCCGCCAACTCCAGAGGTAGAACATGTGGCGCTGCTTCTTCTACGTCGGTTACGTCAGACTCGGCGTCGATTTATCAACACAAGCCGAGAGCGCCCTCTTGTGGTGTAATGTGAAAATAACGTGAAATGATTTCACAATTTGTTAATCATTTCACACATAAGTCGCTCCAGAGTATAAGAAGCACCCCGCGGCCAAACTATGAAAAAAAAAAACTGCGATTTATAGTCCAGAAAATACGGTAGTTACACGGAAAATGTATAAAACCAAGATATGGTCATATTTCGTTCTGGAATCATTTTTTTGGGAAAATCCAATCAGATTAAAAAAAATGCGATTTATAGTCCGGAAAATACGGTAGTTACACGGAAACTGTATAAAACCAAGATATGGTCAGATTTCGTTCTGGAATCCTTTTTTGGGAAAATCCAATCAGATGAAGATTCAACCTATTGGAGTAGCGACAAGTCAATGTACCCCTTCGAGTCATTCATCCATTTTTTTTTTTTTTTTTGAGATGCCTTATCCCTCATTAGCGAAGTACCTGAAGCCAATAGCAGGGGACACCCACCTGGAGAGAAACCACCAGTCACGCTCACATTTCAGACAATTCAGAGTCTTGAACCCTTTTCGGGGACAGCGGCGACGACAGTGGACAGTTTATCATGTTATCAGAGTATAGGTTGCACGAAAGGGTTAATTGAGCGATGTCTTTCTCACGTGGGAGGAAGCCGGAGTACCTGAAGAACCCCGAAGCAAGCCCGGATTTCGAAACCCCAACCTCTGAACCGAAAGCAAATGCGCTAACTATTCATCGTACCCCCGAAAGGGAGGAAACAGTCTGTCGAGGGCGGCGGGGGGAACAAAGTCGCTGTTTAATGGAGGAGATGAAACAATTACCCCGGTGATTGGGTTCGCTGTTTCAAGTCGGCGTGTTCCGCTGCGTGCGAAAATGAATGAAAACCTTTGCTGAGCTTCTGACCGCGCCAGGTCGGTCGAGTGATTGAGTTAGCCAAACGCGGGTTAGCCATAATGGGGAGCTTGTTAGCCGCTGTCGCCAGCGCGTCTGACCAGTCAAAGCATCAGGTGGCTTCACTCGTTCTGCTCCCCTCCGCCCCCCATTACGCTGTTCTCGCCTCGCTCTCGAAAGCGGCGTGCGGGCGCGCTTGATGAGATGAAGGAGCGAGGTCGAAGTTGAGACGCGCTAAATCGTCCGCTTCGTTAGCCGCCGAGACGTTCCAGCGTCGCTTCATCCCCGCGTTTTCAATACACCCGTTGGCTTGTATTCTTTACACTCTCCACATCAACCCCCAGACGCTCGGCAGGTGAGCCCCTTTCATCCCCGCAGCGCTTCGTTTTTCCCCCGGGGGGGGGGGGGGGGGCGTCTAAGACGAGTCGCCTAATTAGAACAAGAGAAGACGAGAGGGAACATGCGCGCTCGTTCGAACTCAACAAGGAACCACCCCCCCCTTCGGGGATAGATCGAGATTTTGTTGAAGATTAGCGTCATGAGGGGCCAAGGATACGTTTCTGGTTTCACGCGTGTCCAGTTGGGTTTACGTGAAACGCTACAGTTTCAGTTCGCCTCAAGGCTAACACGCAAGACTTGACGGGATTCAGGATACAGCGCCTTGATTTCGAAGTTACGACTTGTTGGTGTTCTGTGAAGAGCTAGCTTGAGTAAAATATGTGCCTTGGCTCAATCACGGTTGGGACTCGCTGAACTTGAAGTCACACCCGTACCACTTTAGCCCTCGAAAACGCTACGCACCGCTGCTTTGGAGTCCGATAATTAGCTATATTAGCGGAGATTGTACCTGGAGGGACTGCAATTGACCTCCGCTGTCCTCTTATTTCTGACAGCGTTTGTCTAATGGCTCATTAGCGATGCTAATTCCAGGTAAAAAAAAAAAAAAGAAAAAAAATCAATTACCGCAAATCACACATGAGTCCGTCGCTAACTTCCGGACGCTAATGAGCGCTTCTACCGCCGAGCACGTGCGTCGAGTGCAAAGCAAGTGCCGCAATTGGATCCCGTTCGGCGGCCTGAATAGTTGTCACGCATATCGGGTGCTCGCTTCTGGGGCAATGAAAAAAAAAAAGAAATAAAATTGACGAAAAAAAGTAGAGCGGATGTGAGGACAATAAATAATTTGTCCTCCTTCGCCGTACGAATGTGTGCCACTCTCTCCTCTCTTTTTCATGAGCTTGATCATTCGTTTTCATTTCATCACCTCGTCCAAGTGGACGCTTGAAAGCATTCTTCGCGGGCCTTTGGGGGGGGGGGGGTTTCGGGCCGAACAAAGCTAACACACACACACACACACACACGTGCGCACTACAAACGGAGAGAGACACAAGAAGGGACAGCTGAACTCGGCCTCGTTAGGGGGAAACGCAATCACAAGGGGCTTATCATACAGACACAAAACACGTTCATACAGACACAAAACCCGCCCCCCCCCCCCCCGCGCACCCCCCAACATAGTGAACCTGGTGCCCTCGCTCTGGCAGGCCATTGTATTGTGGGATTGCGCGGACAATCTCTTCATGAATGATTAAGCAGCGCGTTTTTCCTCCACCGACGCTTTGATGCCGAGCGTCCCGTTTGATCACCGCGCGTCGTTTTTTTTTTTTTTTTCGAGATACGTACACTTTAACGCAGCGGATGCCTACATCTGCCCCCTTCGTCCCCCCCCGCGCCATGTGAGAGGCTATTGTTGGGGGTGGGGGCGGAGGAGGGGGTTGACGGAGAGACGCTTGTTTGGGAAAAGGTTGCAAAGTCATGGGAAAAGCGCGCTTTGTCTCGGCGGGGTCGTGAGGGAGTGAATCATGAGCGGACGTGTTTATAGCTGCGCACACACAGCTGCGGCGAACGCAACACAGGGGACGCGCGCTTGCGCGCACGCGTCGCGGTCCAAGACGTGCACACGGGCGAGTTTTCGCGGACAACGAGTCACCCCCCCCGCCCAAAAAAAGAAAGGGAACAATTAATAATTGAACTCACACAAAGCAAATAAACACAGCTGCTTTACACCCCCCCCCCAAAAAAAAACGTGCATGCAAAAGTGATCACAAGGCCCCTTATCACTGTGTATGGCTGACTCACATGGGGGGGGGGGATGGTTACGAGGGGATGTGGATGCATGTGTGCGTACTCCGGCTTTGGACGGGGCGTCTCGCTGATACAAAGCGGGTCTTTCTCAGCTCAAAATTCAGTGTCATCTGCCTTTAGAAAGGCCCGGGCTATTAGTTCCGAGCCACCTGGACCGACATAGAGGCTCCACTGTCGCACCCGAAAAAGGACAATTCTTCCATTTTTTTCAAGTCGCTTGAGTTCAACCCAGGCGGGGTTTGCGCGATGCTGCTGCGTCTGGCCCGAGCGCCGCGGCCCGGAAACCGTGTGAAACTGTCGCGAAGGGGGGGTTCATAAGTAGCCAAACATTAGCGACTAGCTTGAAATAAAAAATACATTGGCGTTCCCGATTAACAACATCATGGCTGACAGTTTTGCCACTGTAGCGAAGGGGGGTTCATGAGTAGCCAAATGTTAGCGACTAGCTTAAAAAAAAAAAAAAAGTTCATTGGCGTTCCCGATTAACAACATCATGGGTGACAGTTTTGCCACTGTAGCGAAGGGGGGTTCATGAGTAGCCCAACGCTAGCGACTAGCTTAAAATAAAATAGTACATTGCCGTTCGCAATTAACAACTTCATGGGTGACAGTTTTGCCGCTGTAGCGAAGGGGGGTTCATGAGTAGCCGAACGTTAGCGACTAGCTTGAAAAAAAAAATTGTGCATTGCCGTTCGCAATTAACAACTTCATTGGTGACAGTTTTGCCACGCCACTGTAGCGAAGGGGGGTTCATGAGTAGCCAAACGTTAGCGACTAGCTTAAAAAAAAAGTACATCGGCGTTCCCGATGAACAACTTCATGGCTGACAGTTTTGCCACTGGAGCAAAGGGGCGTTCATGAGTAGCTAAACGTTAGCGACTAGCTTAAAAAAAATTGTACATTGCCGTTCGCAATTACCAACTTCATGGGTGACAGTTTTGCCATTGTAGCGACTTGGTACGTGCGCGCGAGGGTCAATCGCCACGTATGCATCTGTGACTTGTCTGTCGATGACAGTGACGTATACTGTCAGGCAGAACATTTCCATGGTCGTCCACTAGATGGCAGAAGGTCCAATTGACCATTCGTAGGAGGAACGCACACGGATGGCCCTCACCTGGATTTGCTGCTGCAGGAGGTTGATTTTGTGCTGCTGCTGCAGGGGCTGCTGTTGTTGCCGGGCAATCTGAGAACAAAAAAAAAAAAAAAAACTTTGTAGCCGGTTATTGCTAGCAAAATCGTTTCAGAGGTGGCTCGCTGTGCTTTCATGAGAGCAGCCTGTGAGGAAGTGAAGGTGTGTTTTTTTTTTTTTTGTTGTTGTTTTTTTTTCACGTCAGTACTTTGTAGTGAAGACATAAGACGGCGCCGCTCGGAAATGGGTCGATAAAAGGTGTTTCCCAAGGTATTGTTGTGGAACGATTGTGTACCTGGTCCTGCTGTTGCTTGGCCAGCTCCATCTGCTGCCTCTGTTTCTCCATCTGCGAGGCGGCCAGCTTCTTCTGCTCCTCGTGGGCCGCCAGGAGCTGCTCCCTCAGGCTGCTCAGCTGGCCGATCATGCCCATGAGTTGGCGCTCTTTCTCCGCTAGGCTGTCCGGTGTACCTGGAAAAAAAAGGGTAGGGGGCGGGGGGGGCTTGATTGTAATCCTTGGAAGCAAACTGAAGGCATAGACTTGAAGGAAGGATGCATGATTTTATGTTCCGGGAAAAAAAAAAAGAGCTTCTTTCAAGCTCGGCATGAAAAGTTACTCGAGAATACAAATCGGGCGCGCGGATGTCTTCTAGCCGGAGGATTGTGGGAGTCGGGTCAGAAAGGGCAAGGAACAACAAAGTAGTATAAAGCAACCCGCGGCTTGTTGGGCCGTCTAATATACGACCGGTTTGGGGGCTTGGGGTCCCTTCGACGGAAGGTGTGTTATAAAACCAGATGTTGACCTTTTTTTTTTTTTTTCCCCCCCACGTGCACATCCATCACTGTCTTTATTGCTTCATTTACATAAAAAAAAGACCCAGAAGTGGAAACATTTGTCAACAGGTTAAGCAAACTCGAAATCAGATCCAGCTTCACAACAACAACAAAAAAATGCTGCTTTTAAAATTTCTGACTAAGAACGGGAGCAAGAGTGTGTGTGTGCGAATGTTTGTGTGTTGTTGTGTGTGTGTGTGTGTGTGTGTGTGGTGGTGTGTGTGGGTGGGGGTGTGTGTGGTGTGTGTGTGTGTGTGTGTGTGTGTGTGTGTGTGAGACAGAGAAGGAAAGTGTGTCTGGTCTGTGTTTTCCCTGCAGTCAACCCGCCTTCTGCTCACATTTAGCATGGCCTGACCTTTAACCCCTCAGATCCTGACATACCAGCTCCATTACACACACACACACACACACACACACACACACACACGCACACACGCACACGAATACGCTCCCGAATACGTGGCCGCACAAGGCCTAAATCATTCAACAGGATGTAGTTAAGGAGACGCACAATCAGCGCGGGGTCCTCGTCTCGAACTCGGACCCGCCAGTTTCAGATTTACCATATACGGCGCGCGTGCGACGACTACAATCGCCCATTGTTCCTCAGCTGCTACCTTGAAGAGAAGGGGGGAGGGGTGAAAAGAAGGATGGGAGAAAAAAAAATGGAGGTAGAGACAATGTGCCACACCGGAGCCTGACCTGGCCTTTGACCGCGACGGGAAGGTGAGAGTCATCCATTTGTC